GTCTCTATTCAGGCATGCGCAATGCAGGTGTTATCATCTTGATGTGTGTTCGCTAGTCCCCCCCCCCCCCCAACCCCCACCCCCCGACATGTGAATGGACGCAATAATAAAACTGAGTAAGATTCTGATCCCGATCAAAATCTCAGTTTTTGGAGTAAGTGAATGCCAAAACTATGCGAGGTCTGATGCACAATATAGAATTATTACGAGATGAATGGACAATATTAATACCCAAGTACAACATACATGTATTAAATTTTCAAGCAATTTCAGCTGTACATGACTGGCAATCACATTTATTTCATTTCATCTTTGTCCCTTGCATAATACTGTATTCAACATGAACTGCATTTTTTCTCATAATTTTCAATATCTTAAAAGTACACAAGACAAATAATTGAACTAATGTATATACTACATTTTCATAGAATGCAGACCAATAGTGACAATGAGCAACTTAAAAAAAGACTAATCTATGTATAATTGTACACCTAATTTGGCAGTCCTTTTAATTTGGGCTGAAAAATTTCAATACTGTACAGAGAAAACAATTTGAATTTTTTTAGATGAAATTCAGAATATCATCTTCTACGAAATCCTAGGCCCCATTCCAAAGTCTCATCAAAAGCTTGTTTAGATATGAGGCCATGAACCATATTTGTAAAAATAAAATGGCAGGTTTTTTCAACCTACGCATATTCACTTAGCTCTGTATTATAAAATAGGAAATGGGAAGCTTATTACACTTAAATCATTAAAAAAAGTATAAAAAATAAAAACATTTATCACTGATATTTTAACAATGAACAAGGCTTAAATCAATTATTTACACACATGTAAATATTACATGTTCCTCATTGATTATAATTACATAAAAATAACATCAAAGGCAAAATCAAGTCCATAAAAATAGGAGATCATAATACTGTCATACATGTGTAAACATTGGAAGGATGGTATATCATTAATAGCAAGCAAGAGAAATTAATCATAATAGTTAATTATTAATGAATTATTTATAAGTAAGTATTAAATACATTATAAATTTATAATGCAAATTTCTAGAATATGTACATGTAGCTTAACTTTAGAATTAAAATTTCTTAGACACTGCTTGAATACCATTGGCCATTTAAATCCCAATGGTCGAGCTACATAAATATACTGCCTGTGCGGCTCTGGTTGACAAAAAATCTCACAGAAGTCATTATTCCATGTGATTATATGCAATTCACTGCAGCTCACAACTTAAAGTTGAATTTGGCAACCTAAGCATTTGTCTAGGTTGCCCATCTGAAAACCCCAATAATACTTATAAGGGCGAGCCCTGCAAATATTCTACACCTCATTAAATGTTGCAACATTCTTATCAAAGTATGCAGGGCAATCTGAATATTTATACGCAAAGAAAGTATCCTGTAAATCATTACACTTTGTACAATACTTTAATAACACGTAACTTTGTAACATAAGGCAACAAATCAAAGGCAAGAAAATAAAATTGCTTTTATCTATATTAAGGCAGCAACTAAAGCAAACAAAATGGAATGCAGTGAATTGTTAAAAAGAAGCAAATACATAAATAACAAATGCAGAAATTCAAAGATTAACATACCCGGTAATTAAGAAGGAAAAAAATGTGAAGACTGTGCTTTTATATCATTCCTACAAACTTTAAACTACATTTCAAAATTCATTGAATGCAAATATACTGAACATATGTGTGAAATTGTTCTTCTTCTGCTATGAGACCCAAAATAAAAGAGTATGATGAAGGTAGGTACCTGAATTCTGACAATAATTTGTGAATCAGACCAGTTTAAGTCTGTTCCTCTTGACACATGGTATAACAGTAGATGAACTTCTAGTACCTTGTTCCACTAAAATTCAAACTCGATGCTTGCTTTGGGCTTTCACACAAAATTGGGTTCAATAAGGAAGTCACTCTGTAGACTAAGTTTCCCTTTTGTGGAACGCAATTTAGGCCTAGGGTTGGTAACTGAATAAGTGGATTATAGACCATAGGGGTTCAGTCACATTTTCTAGTTTCCAAGACGGGTTCACTTCATATAGATTGAACCCTGAATTACCATTAACCACACATGTGTACACTTTTACGTGACAAGTATGAGCTAGTGCATGACTTATTACACAGGGATCCCCCTATTCGATCCTGTTTTGACATCAATGCAAAAATATTGAAAATGTTATCATAATGTGTACGAAACTAGGCAAATATTATGCATTTTATGATGTCACCCTGTACGAAAAATGGTAACAGAGCAACTACACAGCAGGTGATCCTAAGATGAAATTCATGGAAGTACATAAACAATGACTTAGTCTAGGACTTATCAGAGTCTTAGCCCAGACTTTAAACAGAGTCCTTGCCCAGGCTTTGAACATGGTCTTACTCAAGACTTCAACTTTAAACAGTCTTAGCCTCGACTTTGAATAGATTCTTAGCCCAAAGAGTCTAAACCCAGACTTCAGAGTCTTAGCCCATATAGACAGATCAAGATTATGAAAACCAATGAACTTTCTTCTACATCTGAAAGAATTTTCTTCACTGAAAGCCGATGTCCATTATCGACTCGACGCTCAATCTATTTGTTGTTGAAAAGTTGCATTGCGTTGAGGCGCCTTGCCTTGAGACATGCTGCCTCGACCGCTTCGATGAGGCATCTCCGGAAGCCGCCCTTCTCCAGCTCGTAGATGGCATCGATGGTAGTCCCTGCCGGTGAGCACACCTCGTCTTTGAGCTGGGAGGGGTGCTTGCCACCTGTTAAGACCATCTTGGATGAGCCCTGTGAGAGGGGGGTGGGGGAAGGGGAGGGGAGGGGGTTGAATTCCAACAACATTGTCACAATGAGAGCAAATTTATGTGAATCCAATCAATACAAAACTACCTGTTTCTACCATTCTCATAATTGCTCTCCTGTGTATGGAGTGGCAAAAATAAAATTAATGCTTTTAAAGGACACGTATTTTTCTTCTTCTTCTTCTTCTTCTTCAAGATAATCTGGCTCCTTCACGCTAAAGATTCTTGCAGATGCTGTATATACTTGGCCTGATTGGGGTATATGACAGTGTCTGACCTTTTAATCTGTCATAGTGTGTATGCAACTACAGACCGAGTACTATTGATACTGCATTGGTATATTTACATCTGTACAACACAAGCTAAAGATCATATCTTACAATTAAATGAAGGAAGAGAAACAATCTCTTTAGTCACTCACCAATAACGCCTGGGCACTAAGCTTAATGGCCACATCTCTTGGCAGTCCCATCTTAACTCCACCATCTGCTAAAGCATCAATGGCCACATATGCCTGTGAACATGAAAAACCAAACAAATTACTTGAAATAGGGTTATACCAAAAGCCTTAATTCTTTCGGATGATGACGTTAAGGGTCGATCCACAGACGTAAATAATCATACCGGATTGATACACGTCTGTAAAAACCCAATTACACACACACACACACACATATTTTCACAAGGGTTTAATTCAGTCATACTATACAACAAAAGAGCATCTTGCTGTAAGCAACTACAGTCCTACACACTTTTGCCATGGACAGACCCCAAGTCAAAATTTTTTCTCCTCCTCCTTCTTTATCTTCTTCTTCTCTGCCTAAACATCATCTGTCCAAGACTCCAAACTGTTGTTTACCTTTATTTAGAGAGTACTTAAAATTTGCATTATCTCTTCATTGACCTAGAGTCAAAAGGTGATATTTCAAACACAGCACACAGGCACGGAGACCAAAACATTGAAAGCAAAGTATTTTGGGTGATTGCTCCCCTGTTTACAAATTCTAAAGAGTCATTTAACAGGGGTGATAGTGAGCACTAATTTTTTTTTTCTTTCCCTCAACCACACCCCTTTGAGTAAAAAAAAAAGAAGGGGATTCGGGGGGGGGGGGGGGAATGGCATCTAAAAACATTCTCCCCTTTGAGTAAGAAAATTGTAAAAAAATAGGAAAAATAGGGAAGAATAGAGAAAATAAGGGAAAATTAGGAAAATCGCGATAAATTGAGAAAACAAAAAAAAAAGGTATAAAAAAAAAGGGGAAAAAAGAGAAGAAAAATTGTGAATTAAAAAAAAAAAAAAAATTGGGAAACTGATTTTAAATTGGGTAATTATAAGGCCTGATATAATGGCTACTGGGTACTCAAATCACTTACATAAGCAGGACCACACCCGCTGACGGACATGGCTGCATCGATCAGTGATTCATCCCCTTCCAAGCAGATCCCGAGCTGCGAAAGCAACGACTGGAACATCTTGCTGTCCCCCTCGCGGACGTTCTGACCGACTGAGAAGATCGTCGCTCCCTCCATGATGATGGCCGGTGTGTTCGGCATGGCACGGATCACTCTCGTCTCCTCTGGTAAGCTCTGCAAAGGGTCAAGAATTAATTTCTTTAAAGGTAAAGATCAGTTTTGGAAACGCCCCAATTTCAAAAAATGAAATGGAAGCTCTTATTACCAATCATGTGAAAGAGTATGTTTTGACTAATACATGATGATAAAAAAACCGCCGACTAATTGATATATTTGGTAAATTAGTTTATCTATAGGTGTGTGAGAGATAAACGCACGTGTCGTGCACGTGTGCGTTGTCCCATATACATCTTTCTGTGTACAGTGCTTGTAACTTTACGAAGACTGGGCCAAATTTCTTATCATTTTGATGATTCCAGAACCTTGCAGTACACACCAATACTTATATGCTAGATGATCAACCTTTTCATGCTGCAATAATTATAAACCTTTAGGTCAGTCAGGAATCCCATGACTTTTACCAGCCGATCGCCTGTCTGATTATCAAGATATTTATGATTGAAAATTGAAACCAAATTTCGCGTTTACGAGTACAGTAAAACCAGTTACTCAAAGATTCTTACAATTTTGAGGCACTTCATGATCATTTTGAAACGCAATTTTTTTAAGGGCTTCAATATTTATATAATATTGACTGGCCTTGAGGGGTATATCAGAAATATTGACCAAGCTCAGATCATATTGCCCTGAGTCGAAAGACGAGGGCAATATGGTCTTAGTGCGGTCAATATTTCTGATATCCCCCCGAAAGTAAAGCCAGTCAATATTTTTATTGTTATCCAAATCAGACATCTAGAGCAAATACAGACATCCACCATGACAATCTCAAGAACTGAACAAACTTTGTCAAACCAGCACTGTGCATCCAGTGCTTGACACAATTTCGATACATTGCAAACAATGTGCATTTGGTGTGATTATTACGTCACAATAGAGTGCGCGCAAAGTGCGCAGGTTCTCGTACGCATAATAAATGCGCAATGAAAATGACAAAATACGGCGCAGTCAATACAAGATGCCCGGATGCGAGACCATGGAAAATACCAAGGTATATTTCACTCGTCTCTACACGCAAAGTCAATACGCGCAGGGAGACCAAGGAAAATACAAAGAATATACCCCTCCGTTCCCACTGCTAGTAAAAACTAGGGCAATAAGGTTTGTAAATGACCAGTTCAGATGTCTGATACGGGTAATAATACACTATATCCGTACACTGATAACATGTAGGGATGTTCATCTCAGATTTAACATTGTTAAACGATGCCTTTAAAGATAAAATCACAAGGCCCTGTCTAATAAAGACTTGCGCTTGATCCAAATCAATCACAAGTCGTCATGCAACTGCGTTATGAAAGAAACCAACTCAAAGCGATTGAAAAAGGTTGATAATGTAGTAAATAAGTGTATAATGTGAGGCTTTGGAATCATCACAATGCTGGAAAATTGACTCACTCTTTCTGATAAGCACATGCACTGAACACAGAAATAGGTATAAATGGGACTGTCAAACACTTGTGGCATAAATCTTTGGTCCAGAAACTTCAGCTGCTTCTTGCCATACTTTAAAGAGAAGGGCATGTGAAGAGCAGTCCTTTCCAGGAGCCATTTCTACTAAGAATGTTCTTCCGAACTGACATGAAAAGAATGAGAAAGATCACAAACTACTTATTTTTTAACCTTGACCATAACTCTCCATTCTCTTTAACGCTATCCTTACACTAAAATATTTCAAACTTACACTTTGCAGGTAGTCCAGGGTGATGCCTGCTGCTAGGGATACAAAGAGATGGTCTTTCTTCACGTACGGGGCGATCTCTTTCAGGACTATCCCAACAATGTTTGGCTTGGTGGCTAGGAAGACAGTGTCTGACATCTCAAGGAGTTGCTCGTTATTTTCAGCTATTTTGGTTCCCATATCCTACATTGAAATACCGTAGTGAATGGTGATGATTTGACTGATATTCCTCTATGACACACTAGACAGGGTAGCTGTAGCAGTCTAGTCTCTTGATTTATGATTTTAAGGCATTATTACAGCCTTGACTACTTAAAATTCTTTACATGTTCTATTCCTTTTCATTTCAGTCATTCTTTTCCATTAAAAAAACAAATCAATATATACAATTGTACATGTAGGAACACACAAGAACATAAATTCAATACGTATACAAATGGGAGGGGGTACATTCAGGCGCGTACATTTTTGGGGGGTCTCGAAATTTGAAAATTTGACATTTTGCTCCGGTTGGGGGGGGGGGGAGGGATAAGGTCAACAATTTTTTAGGTCAGCCATTGGTATAATTTTTTTTTTAATTAAAAAAAACAAAAAAAACAAAACACAATTACCAAAGGGGGGGTTTTCCTCCAAAATACACACATAAAAAATACCAAAGGGGGGGGGGGGGGTTAACCCCCTAAACACCCCCTGCATACGCGCCTGGGTACATTTAATAAAAACAACATGCTTGTTGGCAGTGTCCTAAAGAGAGAGAAAATCATATCACAAGATCTATAGCACACAACTGATCAGCATGAAATGGATAATTTTTTGTAATGTAATCAATTCAACCGGTTGACTACTGAATTTTTCTGATTCCCATAGGCTTAACACATAAACCACTCGGTTCCAGTAAGCAATGGGTTAATGCACAACTCTATATTAAAGGCCCACTGCACTACTGGTAGCTACTTGCTCCCTCTATATAACAAACGATGCCTAATCGGTGACCATTGGTCCCCCATGATCCTCTCTTTCTTATGTTAACTGAGAGCTGAGTTGATGAGATAACCACCTGTCCAGTGACCTTGCAGAGCGGTCTAATCCCTCCTGTAAACTACGGCAGATAAGCTTTAAGTGTCATGTTAGAAATTATTTTTTTCACCTATATGTATATGAATAATATGGCTTGCCCTACCTAACAACATGTAATGTATATCAAAAATATGATTATTCGCAACAGGTGGATGAAATAATTTGTAACGAGGCACTTACATAGTACGAAAATGGCCTATTGGGATATGAATTATCATATTTCTGCAGAGGAACTGGGGGAGGGGGGGGGGGGGGATAGGGTAAGGACTAAGGAGCTTATCTTTAATATTTCTTTTAAAGGCCCACTGCACTACTTGTAGCTACTTGCGCCCCCTCTATATTAAACAATGCCTAATCGGTGACCATTGGTCCCCCATGATCCTCTTTTTCTTATGTTAACTGAGAGCTGAGTTAATGAGATAAACACCTTGCAGAGCAGTCTAATCCCTCCTGTAATCTAGTACTGATAAGCTTTAACCTTTAAGCTATCGTAAGGGATGGGGAGGGGGGGGGGGGGGATAAGATAGGCTGATTGAGACTTTGAGAGGGAGAAAGGGTGATAACATGGTACTATCCAACATCTGCTATCAAGAACTTGATGCCTAGTTCCAGTATAACAGAATTTCTCTTCTAAAAGAAACTTGAGAATTGATGTATAATAAAGCTACATATGTTTCTCATCTCAATTTTCAGATTGAATATTGCATGGATGCAAAGCTATAAAGAACTTACTGAAAGCACTTTGAGATTGTGACTAGCCGGGTCACTAGCTGCTATTTTTTCTGGAGCCACAGCATCTGGAAAGAGAAGAAAAGAAAATTAGGCTTAAAACTACAATAACAATACTTATTTGTAATCATGTAATCATAAATATTAACAATCCTCAAATGTTTATTAGACCTCATGGATGGTAGACAAAATGGGCATTAGACAAACTGGGAATTAGACCAACTGAATATTAGGCTAAATGAATAATTGACTCAATACGTAGTAGACTAATTGAGATTAGACCATATCGAAATTAGATCAAATGAATTTTAGCCTAAATGATAAGTAGACGATAAGATCATTAGACCATGTGGGTATATAGTTGGCGGGCTGTGCGTAGACCATATAAGAATAGACAAATGGGTTTTACACCAAGGGGTTGTTTCTCGATCATACCGTCATAACTACAAGATCAACAACATCTCAATGCTTTTGCTCAACCTGTCTGCTAAGAATTTCACAAAACTGCCTTTGCCAAGACGAGCAATTTCTCGACAAGTGACTTGTCGCAACTCTAAACCTGTCATATATTTCTAGAACGCCATCTCAAGGAAACCTTAAGTTACTGCGTGTCCACACACAAAATGAATTACCCTGAAACTCTATAAAGAAACGTTGTATAAAGAATAATCGCATAGCGAACCGGGCATCTACACACAAATGGGAACAAGTATCAAAAATTCTACAGCGAAACGATCCCCAGACCCGCGTTTTATTATACAACATTTCTTAATGCCGATATTCTAAGCAAATAAATGTCCCTTAATTTGGTACCTACGGCAAACATATGTTATTTATAAGTTTTTCAATTATATAGTATATCACAAAAAAATTCTGGCTACTCGAAATCCTTAATTGAAATGTCGAAAATATCCGCCTCTCTTTGCATAGAAAATCAGTCACGGCGCTGGTCTACTATATATGATAATGACATCATGTCCGGGAAAGAGTATATTCACGTACCCGGATGTTCCATAGAAAGCATGTGCAGAGAGATACGATTTTCTGCTTATTTTTGTTTCAAAGGCTGAAAAGTCTAATAAATCATAACTCTATGTACAATTCTTTACCTTCCCTAATATTTCATAGTATAAATATCAATTCCCCTTTTAAAAATTATGACATATGCATGCCAACAATGTGCTATTAGTCGATATTTACACCATATAATTTTTGTGTTTTGGTGTTGAAATCGGTCTAGGCACGGAGTGAACAGTAGCTGTCTGGTAAGTGCAGGACCCATGCACAGGTCATTACCATACAGCGGTCTCCCGATGGTTTCTGCTTCCTTTTTGCCATGTCTTTCGCCTTCTTGGCCCTGCAGATCCTTCATCTTCTTCCATGCTGTGCATTGTGCGATCTACCAATTCTGAAACCGGTAGTCAGGAGCAAGTCTTTGTTTGTTGTTTTTCTTAGCTGGTAACGTCGCTTTCATTCTCTTGCAATTGCCGATAAACATTATAGCGCACGTACGTTCCATCACAAGCAAGCCGCGCCTCGAGCAGCCGCCTGGTCTTACCTCCCGATTCTGTTCGCTTCACGAACATTCGTGCAAGAGCCGCATCACTCGCAGATGAATATCGTTCGATCACTAGACGTTGTCAAATCGTCATTGAAGTTTGATATTTAACAACATAACATGTTTAAAGGTTATAATACAAAGTTTTGGGAAATTTTGAAAATTGGGTGGATAGTGATTCTTTACAATTTTGATATATTTGGATGCCCCTGTGGATGTATTTTAAGCACTAGAAAATTTGGCCCCTAAAACACTTTTGCTTTCGAGAAAAATTGAATATAAAAATTTACCGGTGCTCCCGGTAAATTTTGATAAATTTCAAATAGCGCCTACGGCCGTATAATGGTAGCTGCGATCATGAAAATCTCAAAATATGTAGTCGTGATATATAATTTCCAAACGGTAATAGCTAATCGGTCGATTTTAGTCAAGAAACATTGTTTTATAGCTTAATAATATCTTGACCTTGAGAGGGAGCTATACAACATAAAGAGTTTATTATTTACAATTTCATAGCGGTAGACTCGATTTCAACCGGGACAACGATCACTGATTATTGTAGGATCGCATATGCTTCCAATATGTTCATTTGAACCAAATCCATGACCCCATACCAAAACTTTGTATTACCTTTAACTGGTACTGTATCCTTTTTTGAGGCAGTCACACACATCTATGATAAGTACTATCATAGTTTTAGGCCTATTCGTTTTACAAAATTGCTCCTGTACCTTATCTGATGACAAGATAATGCATCCGCCTATTCATACGTGCATGATTTAACCTTGTTTCCCAAGCAGTAAACTCGTCTTAAATCTCTACCAAATAGGTGAATATTAGGATATAAAAAAGAAATCAGCGACTGGAATATGTTGCTTCGTTATTCTTCATTCAAATGAAAACAGAAAATCCATCAATTATACTCATTAACAACAACAAATCTAAGCTCTGACAGGATAGCATTTATGTAGGGATATCACTGCCATTCACTCTCACTGAGCCCATGAGTCCCATTCGTGACGTCACGGATAGAGGCCCTACTCTACATGCACTTCCGGGTTTCAGACTTAGATAGTTTAGTAGAGTTTACTTGCATAAATTCACCATTCTAAACTTGTTTTTGTCAGTTGGACACCGTTTAGTGTTATTCTGGGGGTTAAAAGCTTTCTATTGATGTTAATATCTCAATATTTGGGATTGTCGTAGAATATCAACTTTAAAGAGATAGTTGAGTTCTGTTGCAGAGGGCACAAAACAAAATATTTTTTGTTTGAAAGAACATACAAATTAAATGACAAAATCATCATAAATGTAACAATTTCTAATACTTGTGTACCGCCACAAATATTAGATAATTTGAAAAAGCCATTGAAAAAACGAAATAGACCCTAGTGCCTTTTACGTCGTATTTCAGCCAACAGAACTCAACTACCCTTTAATACGATGCATCGTTAGTAAACATACTCACACACTATTTCATTGTATGGTTATCCTGAAATGGTATAACTACCGTTTCGGGATAGCTATTCCTGGTTAGATGTCATAACACAGGTTTTCGTGCAAATTGGATGTTTGTATCAATTGTGCTACCACCCTAATAGATTTTACTTTTTCAAACAGTTTGAATTGAAATTGAGCCATGTAGACTCTAATAGATCTAATCTTTTTTGATAATTTTGGTAGAAATCTACCCATTTGGGGGTCGTTTCATGAATTACTAACTCCCTTTAAGTTGAGTACAGAAGATAGAACTCGAGGTCACTCTAGAAAACTAGAAAAGAAATATTCAAGACTAGATATCAGAAAATACTTTTTTAGCAATAGAGTCGTGGAGCTGTGGAACAGTCTCCCAGAAAATGTTGTGGCAGCTGGGTCAGTCAACTCATTCAAGAATAGACTGGATAGTCACTGGTCAAAGAACGCAAGCCTTCTGTATGAGCCGGTCTAGGTGTTGTCTGTTGTTTCATGTTTTACACTAGACCGAAAGCTTCAGTCTCTATACTGTCGGTTGTTCCACTGAGACTACGTCTGGCTCCACTAGACCTCCGGTTATAGAGACTGAACGATCGCCTATGCCAGCCTATGTTGAAGATATCACGGCTAGATTTTAGCCGTTAGGCCCCTCCCACAAACATGAACAAACTTGCCACGGCCGTATTGTTATGCCCCCAAAATCCCCCAAAATGTCGTTTTACCTCGTGCATATCCAATTTTACATTAGGCCTAGGCTATAATACATCGGTTCCACTTACTAACTTGATTGAAATAATCCGTTTAATGGTCCCTTTTAAGGAAATTATGGGTCAAAATCGACATCCATGTCAAAAATCTTGCAAGCCGTGTTAAACTCTCGCTGCCGTCAATCTCATCCCTTCTAGTCTACGCCGAAGGCAAAATGATTATGAAGGAAAAACTGTGCGCCATCTACACGTTCGTAATGGCGTTATCACAGTTTTTCCTTCATAATCATTTTTGCCTTCGGCGTAGACTAGAAGGGATGAGATTGACGGCAGCGAGAGTTTAACACGGCTTGCAAGATTTTCAACATGGAGGATGTCGATTTTGACCCATAATTTCCATAAAAGGGACCATTAAACGGATTATTTCAATCAAGTTAGTAAGTGGAACCGATGTATTATAGCCTAGGCCTAATGTAAAATTGGATATGCACGAGGTAAAATGACATTTTGGGGATTTTGGGGGCATAACAATACGGCCGTGGCAAGTTTGTTCATGTTTGTGGGAGGGGCCTAACGGCTAAAATCTAGCCGTGATATCTTCAACATAGGCTGGCATAGGCGATCGTTCAGTCTCTATAACCGGAGGTCTAGTGGAGCCAGACGTAGTCTCAGTGGAACAACCGACGGTATAGAGACTGAAGCTTTCGGTCTAGTTTTAGTCACTTTTACACAACCTCCTCCCTCCACAAATCGCAGTTCCCTGGAAGAATCCTGGATCGATGAACAGGCTTAGACCTAGACCGAATTTTCCGTCTCTTTCGTTCGTTAGCCTCTTATTGGGGTAGGGTCGGCCGGCTCTCTCTTTAGAGACGGAAACCGTCTATACACATTCCCTTGATAACGCCACGGCCATTTCAGGTCGTAGCGTTTTGCCCCCAAAATCCCCTAAAATGTCATTTTACCTCGTGCATTTTATATTGTAAATTAGGCCTAGGCTATAATAAATCAGTTCCACTTACCAACTTGACTGAAATAATCAGTTTAATAGTCCCTTTTTAGGAATTTATGGGTCAAAATCGAAATCCATGTTGAAAAAGATTTTCAAAATGGATTTCGATTTTGACCCATAATTTCCTAAAAAGGGACTATTAAACTGATTATTTCAGTCAAGTTGGTAAGTGGAACTGATTTATTATAGCCTAGGCCTAATTTACATGTGGATATGCACGAGGTAAAATGACATTTTGGGGGATTTTGGGGCAAAACGCTACGACCTGAAATGGCCGTGGCGTTATCACGGGAATGTGTATAGACGGTTTCCGTCTCTAAAGAGAGAGCCGACCCTACCCCAATAAGAGGCTAACGAACGAAAGAGACGGAAAATTCGGTCTAGCTTAGACCTACAACATCGTGTATTAAAGTAAAGTAAAGTCAGGCATATTACTTGACAGTCAAGTGACATGTCAGGACCTGGACAACCCGTTTCACAAGACCATGATCAGCATCAAATTTATGATTTTGATACATTAAAATAATAGTGTTTGTCACGACCCACGAACCAAACCATCCAATGCCAAGACGCGACGGGCACTGGCTTTCAAACGGCCCGACCGTGCTGGCCCGGCTGTTCAACAATTTCCCGATGAATCACAAAGTCAAAGAAAAAAACAAACGAAAGTCGGTACATACTTGCAGCTAGAAGCCCTTTTGTGATAGTTTGGGCTATTTTCCAGCTCCAATGAATCCAACAGTGCCAACTGACATGATGAGGAAGATATACGAATCGATGTCTAGAAAGTCTAGGTGAAATACACGTAAGATGAATTCATACAAATTCATACAAAATAGCAGCTGCTGGTCGATTGTCAGAAACACGGATTGCGCAAGCCACACATGTCTCCAATGAAAATATTGCCACGTGGTGAACATGTGAAAACTAGTCTGTACAAACAGACTTTTAAAACTTAGATGAGACCTCTCCACCTCTAGTATCTACTGAGCGTGCTCCGAATTAAGTAACGCACGGAATGGGCACTCGAATGATGGGCGGGGGCTGCAAGGGCCTTACTCGGAAAATGAAATGAACATTTACATATCTAGCTAGCTTGCAACGGGACCTGGGAGTTGGGGGGGGGGGGGGGGGGGGGGTCCCAGGCTGGGACCCCCCCTCCCCCAACATTTGTATAAGGCTGAATCTGAGCGCACACTGACCAGGGAGGTGTTTTAACTCACATAGTAGGACTGTATGATGCGAAGATTTTCTATTTAAAAAAAAAAAGGGGGGGGGGGAGGGGGAGGGGAGGGGGAATTACATTTTGTACAACTAGGGGAGGGATTGGTATGTAGCTATATGAGCTAAATCCAACAGTTTTTGTGTCAGGCCCCGCGGAACGTTTTTCAAAGTACACCTCAAATACACCTAGAGCTTAGCGAGCGAAGTGGGGGCGGAGAGGGGGGGGGGGGGGGGATGGGAGGGGGCACCAATACAAAAAGGGCAATTTCTTGGAAAAGGGGACACCTTCAAAGGGAAACCTACAAAAAGGGCACTTTCTTGGAAAAGGGGACACCTACAAAGGGAAACCCAAGTGGAATGGGGCAGGGGGGGGGGGCACCATTAAAAAAGGGCACTTTATGGGAAAAGGGGACATCTACAAAGGGAAACCTCAAACCGAAATTATACAACTTTTAGCCATTGGTATGTACCCCTACATTACGATCACATTATCAGTGATGATTTCAATGTTTGTTTCTCTCCTTATACGGTCCAAGATACTACATGTACATAAGCGTCATGCACTAATTTGCAGTTGGGTGTGATGGTCTGAATATTTATTTGCGAGAGGGCGAAGCGAGCGAGCAACCATTTTGAGATTTATGAGGTCGCAGTACAAACAATTACATCTTTTAAAACAAAAAGGGGAAACCAATCCTGAAGGCGGGGTATTAGGCACAATCTAATTTTGATTTGATTTGATTTTATTTTATTCTGCATTCATGCAGATCTATAGTATACAGTTTTTCAATCACAATCACAAGTACGATAAGTATTTTTCTGACAATGAATCATAAATAAACTTATTATATAAATTGTTATTAAAAAAACGAAACGATAAACTGTCATTATATACTAAATTTATTCAAACATTATACAGTCAAACCCGCTTTTAATAGTGACCACCTGTCTTCAAAGGCCACATTAATTGTTGTTTCCCTTAAAAATGGATTCTCATTGAATCATGTACTATAGGAACCTGTCTACAAAGACCACCTGTCTCCAAAGGCCACTTTTTGTGTTTCCCTTGGGTGGTCGCTATAGACAGGTTTGACTGTACAATTATTTGCGAAAGAAGGACTGTCATTGTAAGCAGATTGCTTGATACTACGACAGCCCCAGACAAAACTCATGATATAGATTAACACATTAAAGCAAAAACGGATAGGTAATTAAAAATACAAACTTTGATGATGGTGATATTGACAACAATGCAGATGAGGATGACGATGAAAGATGATCCTGAAAGCCCCCCCCCCCCCCCACTCCGGGGTCGGAATGACCGCATGCGTGTCACCAAAATGTCCGGTAAAGAGGTACTTTGCTTGCGACAAAGTCCGGCCCGAGAATTGTAAAAAAAGGGGTGTATTTGACTTTTCACCCGGATATTTCTTTAAAAAGGGGGTGTTTTTTCTTTTTTTTTCTCTAATCTCTTCGGACTCCTGAGAAATTATTCCGAATTTAGGGGGGTACATTGAGCATTTTTCCGTATTTAGGGGGGTCTCCAAGGCAGGAGAAGCCCGCAAAAAGCCCGCGAAAGGGGGGCTCGGAAATGTTGGCAGTCATCAGATAGGGGGTGCTTTCAAAAAGAGGGAACGAGCATACGCGTACCCTAAATAACACTGAGTGGGGGGGGGGGGGGGGTGGGGGCGGGCCTGAAAGACTGAAGCGATCTTTAAAAAGATACACAATTTCAACTTTAATAGCGAGCCAGATTTGGATGAAATTTAAAAAAAAAGGCTGGTCTTCATCCGTCTTCATCGCTTTTAATTAGAAGCACATATCCAAAGGAAAAAGGACACTTATTGGAAAAGAAAAAGAGCACATGTCAAAGTTAAAAGGGGAATTACCAAAGGTAAAAATGGGGCACTCATCGTGCTTAATAAGGAGCATTCAAAGGGGCACCTATTACAAAGGATAAAGGGCAATTAGTAGAAGGAAAATAGCACTAAATAGAAAGAGGGACGTGTCAAAATAAAAGAGACAATTATCAGACATGAAAAGGGGCACTTCAGTCTTACAAAGTTAATGGGGCACCTTTCAAATTTGAATATGGGCACTCATCAGACATGAAAAAGGGCACTTATTATAAGAATGAATAGATTTAAAACAAATGAATAGAGGCACTATAGAGGCACTTGTCAAAATATAAGGGACACCTCTCAGATTTGAAAAGAGGCAATTATTAAGAGGTGAAGGGACACGTTTCAGAAATGGTAAGGGGCTTTTCTTGTACATGAGATGAATAGGGGTACTTATAGCAAAGGAAAAGGGCACTTATTGCAAAGGAAAATGGGCACTTGTAGACAGAAAAAGGGCGTCTATGAGATTTTTGAAAGAGGCATCTATCAGAGGTATGAGAAGTGACATTATGAGAAGGGGAAGTGGCTCTTATTAAAACAGAAAAAGGGTATTTATCAGAAGGAAAAAGGGCATCTCTTACAAAGAAAAAGGGGGCACGTGTCAAAATTAAAAGTGAGCACTAATTCTTTTTTTTTTGGGCCCTCGAAAATTTGAAAAATTGCACCGCCCCTTGAGCGTCATGGGGGGGGGGGATCTCCAAAAAAAGGTAAACTTAACATTTAAAAACGTAAAAATTCAAACAAAAATTCCCAGGGGGGGCAGCCCCCCCCCTGGATCCGCCACTGGCGCAGATAGAAAGGAAAAAAAAAGAAGTTAATAAATTAAATGACTGACAGCTATTCTGCGCATCTGAATGAAGTGTTTTTAGCCGAGATTTTGGCGATAAAAGTGTGTACTTTTCTGAACAAATATTGAGTGTTTTGCCGGGGCCTTGGTTGGTTTCTTCCTATTTAAGTTAAATATACCTTTTCCGCAATCGGGGGGGCGGTGGGGGGGGGGGGGGGCTCGGGTCCTGGGTATAGAGCAACTGATTGCAAGGGTAAACATGATTTATTTGCGTCACCTCAATGATTACGTCCAAAGTCCAGTCTCGATCCCACCTCTAATATACATCGATTGGTACATGAATACAGTTCCCTAGTTTAGCGAGACAATATTAACACAGCATTGCTGTAGTTCAGTATTTCAATATTTATCTGCGGAACAATTTTTTTTGGATCAAGTTGCGACCATCATGATAGTCCAGTCTCTGTACTGTTTCAGTGTCGCGCGCCCAATCAGCTAACACACCCTCAACGTTGAAAGTAGACCTAGCCATTCCAAATTCTGTGACTATTTTGGACGGAAACTTGGGTGATCGGTCTAGACTTTACAGTTGAGAGACTGCGCTGTGATAGAAGAATAAAAACAAAGGACGGACTGAATCTGGACTAAATCATGGCCGATTTAAAACCCGGTGACTTTGTGACCCTCAGCGTCGGAGGGGTGCCGTACACGACAACCGTGCTGACATTGACATCATTCTCAGACTCCATGTTAGAAGGGATGTTCAGCGGCCGAAACGAAGCCAAGCTGGATGAGGTCAAAGGTCACTACCTTATTGACAGGGATGGTGAACTTTTCAGGTATAAGAGTGGTTTCCTCGACCTCTAGAGTCTTCTTCTTCTTCAATTGTTCTTCTTAATTCCAGCCAAGCTTCTTCATTTTCTGCTTTTTCTTCTCCTCCTATTTCTTGTATTCATTCATTCATTCATTCATTCAAATTGTTTATTTCAAATAAACGATCATCGCAGCGTTAAGCCGAATTACAAAAGTTAACGAACAAATTAATGACACATAATGTAATATATCACATAGCATAACATGATATATTAAATTGGAAAAATAAATCAGCATAAATACGAGAAATATAGCTTCTTCTGCTTCTTTGTAGTAATGTTTTCCTTTTTTTTCTTCTTCCAATCCGATCTCAATGATTTTCAAGAAATTATTTAATGGCAATTCAATTATTCCATTGTATTGCCCAGTGGCGGATCTAGGGGGTAGGGGGATGGCCTGTGCCCTCTCCCCTGGAGCAAAAAAAACCCAGGTAAATCTAACCTTTTTTGAATAAAAAAGAAGAAAGAAGAAGGGCCCCTCCCCTCGGCTCAAGGGGGGGGGGGGAGTGGGTGTTGAATGTTGATTTGAAAAAATAGTGCTCACCACCCCCCGTTTAGTAAAATAATAAAATAAAAGTGCTGCTCCTCCCCCCCCCCCCCCGCTTATTCGCCGGATGGCTGATTCGGCGCTAAATATTTTCTCACGAATTTGGGAAAAAACAAACTCCTTGTCCCTTACATTGGTTAACAGGTAAACCAATGGGGATACATCTCATCAACATTTATTTATGGGGCCCGTTACCCGGGGTAACGGGCATCTAACAAATAAACTATTAACCGGTAGCTCTAGGCGGGCACTCGGGCATCTTTTGGAAAACTATTGACCGGTAGGCGGACATGGCTAAAATCTCTACTCCAATTTCGACCAATCAGATGACTAGACTTATTCAACATCCTAAAGAGAGGTATATAATACCCGCAAAGAAATGAACTATGCCCGTTGCCCCGGGCGCCCCTCAGGGTCATAGCAGGATTTATAAGATGATGACGTAAATCCTAATCAAATGATTGGTTGAAAGCGTACACGTGACCAGGCATTTATTTTGCCTAACGCGTTATTTGGGTAATGACCGGTCATTACCTAATGACCGGTCATTAACACATCTAGCTACAAATTGGCGCAAAATAAGCGCGACACAAGTCAGAGGTCTAATATACAGGCCTGATAAAAACCCGATTTAAATCGGTTTCCCGATTTTTTTTTATTTTTCCCGATTTTTTCCCGATTTTTTTTTCTTCCCGATTTAAAAAAAAAAAAAAAAAAAAAAAAAAAAAAAATCATTTTTTTTTTTTTTTTTTTTTTTTTTTTTTACCATTTTTTTTTTCCTTCCCTATTTTATCCTGATTTTCCCGATTTCCCTCTTATTATCTCTATTCTTCACTATTTTTCCCCCAATTTTCCAAGTTTGTCTCAATTTTCTTTCTCGAAAGGGGGGAATGTTGTTAGATGCCATTTTTTCCCCGCGAATCGTCTTTTTTTTTTTTTTACTCAAGGAGTGCGTGGTTGAGGGGAAAACAAAAAACCTATTTTTTTTTTAGTGCTCACTATCACCCCTGAATATATAAGACGCGCGCAAGGCAAGGTACGCCTCAATTTGCACTTATTTTAAACCATGGGCCATGGGTTATGTAAATGAGGATTTAAACCATGGGTTAGATTTAACCTCCTTTGTGAATTCGGGCCTTTGAGTTTGAGATGAGGGTGATTGATCAAATAACAAGGATCCACGTCATAATTTTATAAAACAAATAATACACATCATTTTGTTCGGGCATTAGTAGAATTACCCACACTCGGTACCTTGTGTGGGTAATTCTTACTAATGCCCTCACTGCTGTGTATTATTTGTATAATAACGTCCCCGAGAGCCTATAGAAATAGCTATGCCTCTCATACAGCAGTCAATATATCTATACTATTCTTTAAGGTGATGTGTATGTGTGTGTGTGTGTGTGTGTGGGGGGGGGGTACACCAATCGACCCCATTAACATGTGTTTTAGTGACCAGTGCTACTTAGCCCTTTCTGCCTCTTTTGAAACCAACTCGCAATTGGTCCCCATTGAAACCAACATGCAATTATTGATCCCCATTGGAACCAACTGGCAATTGGTCCCCATCGAAACCAACTTGCAATTGGTCCCCATTGAAACCAACTGGCAATTATTGATCCCCATATATTGGAACCAACTGAAACAAAATGGCAATTGGTCCCCGATAATCGACAGCCATCACTTATCGACGTTGGCAACTCTCCACCAAAAGGAATATTATAATCTCAATTGCATTAACTCCATCACAATCACAAGTATGATTTGAAGTAAATTCAAGATAAACTTTTGAACAGATAAAGGCTCGTACACAAATATAACATACATGCGGTTTCTTGGTTTTAATCATATAATCAATATATCTATAGCTAAAACGTGAATGTTATTGTAACAAGATCAGACAAATAATCTGTTGGTCAATAATTGCCGAAGGAAAATACAAATCACAAAATTGATGTGCATTGTCATAATTTGCTTAACAAATCATGATAAATGTATTTTTCTGTGACACGTGTAAAGTAATAATGAATAGGCATGAGATACATATATCTCTATTGGTTTCTATTCGTCCTATTAGTTTTTATTTTTCGCATTTGGTTCTATTGGTCTTATTGGTTTCTATCGGTCCTAGTGGTTTATATTGGTCTTATTGGTTTCTATTGAGCATTGATCCTATTGGTTTCTATAGAATTTCAATTGGTTTCAATTGGACCAATTAGCCCCATTTGACTCTAATCGGGATTTCAGTTGGTTCCATTGGACCAATCGGCCCCATTAGACTTTAAAATGTTTTCAATTGGTTTCAATTGGACCAATAATTAAAGTCAAACTTAGGGCCAATTGGTCCAATTGAAACCGATTGAGGTCCTATTAAAGTCTATTGGGGCCTGTGCCAATTGGGCACAAATCATGGGGCCAATCTGGACCAATTGAAACCAACTGAAGTCCTATTAAAGTCCCATTGAAGCCTGTTAAAACCTATTGAGACCAATTAAAACCAATTGGAAATTCATTGGTGTTCAATTGGTTTCAATTGCATTTTCGTCTTGGGATATATTATTTTTTACAGGTATGTTCTTAACTTCCTGCGGAATCGAACTCTCGGTATTCCTGAAGATTTTAAGCAACTCCACATGCTTCTCTTGGAAGCTGAATTCTACCAGATAGGACCAATGTGTGAAGCCATCCGGGAACTGCTGCAGAAACCTGACCCCGAGGTACAAATTCAATACTAGAAGGGATGAGCTGGGTCATCTCTAGGAATTGAACATATACGTATGAAGTTTTACGCAATAGTCCCAAGTGTCACTGCATGCAGTAGTTTTTTGACATTTGGTTGTTACGTTTGATATACTATAAAACAAAATATTTGAAATGTTATTGTCTCATATGGGAAAAAATAATAAAGCATTATTATCTTTTGGTATTTCCTAAACTAATTAACTTTTTATTGTTTTGATCAATTCATGGGCAGGTGATCGAAGTTGAGGTTCGCTCTTTTCAGGATTTCGATGATTGGAAAGGCGGTACCTGGTCGAAGGCAGAAACTATATCGTATGAAAAAATCCTGGAAAAATGGAAAATTGATGGTCAAAACGAAACCCTCCGGAAGGTTCCTTGTCTCGTAAGTATAATAGACAACTTACATGCTTCATCGACCCCGCCCTCATCGAGAGGCACAGAATATGATATCTTGCGACTGGAGGTTTTGGAACGTGCATATCGCCAGCATGCATATACACCTGAGGAGTTTAATCGCTTGAAGCTGTTCCAGGAGATCGGACGACTTGGATTTAGTCTCAAAGCAACAGAAACTCACTGGCCCAGACCAATACAAAACTATTATCAGGCAAAGTGGCAACAATGGATATTCACACGAGTATGATCAAATGCATCGTTAGACCAATTCTTATTGGGGGGGGGGGGGGGGGAAGGGGGATTTCGTCGGTGCAAGTTTGAGGAGGCAAAGAAAAAATTTACTAATTATTGTAATGAAGGCCAAAGTATAGTCGTAGTAGTAGATGATGATGGCAATAATTAAAATAGTAATAATAATTAAAACAATTAGAACAAGAATAGTAATAATGAAAATGATTTTACTGTACTATTACTACTACTGAGAAGAAAAAGGGAAAAATACGAAGGAGGAGAAGAAGATAGAGGAGTGTGTAGTATGACACTAATAACAATAGTTCTTGCGATATGCCTATATGCAATACGATTATACATTTACAGGATAATACTTATTGTTTAATAAGGGGTTGCCACACCTTGCTCGTGTCACCCCCTTTTTGTACTTCGTATGTCATACTTAATCAACCTCCTTCTATAGACACGCCCTTTTAGTATATATGCAAGCATGTGTATCCATGATCAGATGATGGAGTGATAGATTATGAGTATGATTGATTTTTAGAGGAGTCGTGGTCTAGTGGATACGTGACCGGACTGTGGATCAACGTGGTTCACGGCTCGAGTCCCACCGCCGCACTAATGCCCAAAGGCAAGAAATTAATATTCATGTGTCATTCTCCACCCTGGTGTTAAATGGGTACCGGTAGGATGCGAACGTTAAGGTAGTTGGACTGGCATGTGTGTGCTCGTGAAATGGCGCCTGACCGGAATACTCCCCAGGGAGCAGAGCTTGTGCACTGCCATGTGCGGATTATCCTTTGAATTCAATGATCGTGGTAATGATAACGATTACAATGTAAAGCGATTAAAAATGTATCATTAGGCGCTATACAAATGTGACTATTATTATTATTAATGAACACTTTGTAGACAATGCAACAGGTCCAATCAAATTTTCATTTTATTTTCATGCCATGCGTAAATTTCTTTTGCATGTTATTGATTAGCAACACCGAATTGTGTAATATGAATAGTGCTAAAAATAATTCTTGGAGTGATCATCCAGTCTGATCTGAAGTGGAATTTGTATATTGATGAGCGGAGGGTTTTGCAAAATTATTTTAGGCTCTATTTTATGTCATATTCACATGCATGTCAAGTATGCAATTTAAGTACACTTGATGAAAGAAGACTAGTACTAAAATAGTTAGCAATTCACACAGCATGCCAGAACTGGCTACCTTCCAAGAAAGAAATTAGAATATCTTTACGTCAGGTTTCTACATATCATAATTTCAAATGCAAAACCAATCGCTTCAAAAACAGCCCTTTACCATATTTGATCGTTCTAATTAACCATAACTAAATGCTTTTTTTTTAACCACATGTTAAATTTCAAACACAGTACTGGTCTTCACCTCAGTCGTCTTCAATCTTAAAATCCAATTTATTCATTATAAACGAGAGTATAAAACTTCCCGTTATTCCTAATGTGTAATGTAATTTTAAATGTATTTTTAACAATCTTTTTAACGTGTCAATATTTAAAAATGCGAGTAATCACTTTATTATGTCAACATGTAAACATGCACAATCCAGCTTCTGCTGCTTTTGTAAAATGACAATTACGATGCATGTATTTTGAAATTGCATAATAAACCATTATTGACTTAATTGAATTGAAAATATCGTGGCTTTCTTAATAACAATGTAAATATACGCTCTATATCTCATCGACACATGATTTCGCGAACTTGGATCACTTTTAGTCAAAATATACAGTGCGTCCCAGTAAAAAACGAAACCGAAAATTATTGATGTTTTATCATAACTTAATCATCATTGGCGTAGCGAAACAAGGGATGTTTAAGGTACTTTAACATTTCAAAGACACCTTTATCTGTTTTTATCTATGACCCCCCCCGGCCCCCCTTGCAAAAACAAAGTTTTTTTTTGTTGTTGCTCAAGGGGGGGGGGTGTATGTTGAGGTGCAAAACAGAGTGTTTACTCCCCCCCCCCCGTTGATCCCAAACAAAGAATTAGTGCTTACCACCCTCCCGCTTATTCGTCGCTAAAGATTTTCTCACAAATTGGGCAAAAAACAACAACAAAGTGCTCCTTACCCACCCTCCCCCTTATTTTAGACTGGCTGTTTCGCCGCTAAATATTTCTCACAATTTGGGCAAAAAAACACCTCCCCTTAAAAAAAATCCGGTTATGCCCTTGATGTACCATTATAATTAATAAATAACACATGTATTGTTAAAGCTTAGATCCTCTTCTTTCATTTGATGCAACTCATATGATGCATGAGTGATTAAAAAGAAATTGAAGAGAGGGTACCAAAAAGTCATTTGGAGAACGGTATCTGAATTTCAAAGAGAAAATCAAATTTCCAGAAAGTTCATTTTTGCCCTTTCATTGACACCTCAGTCAGGTAAAATGACCCAGGAATAACAGTTTCATTTGTTTAAAGTAATACTTGCATTTTCATAATTTTATCAAACGACTCCTTTCCACTGGCTGTCTGCCCTTATATAGCTTTTATCATTTTTACTCACCACTCCATTTCGTTGACGATCAGCCATGCATAATGTCTTTTGTCAACTTTGTTTGTTGCTACGGTAGGCAGCCAGTGAAAAACGATTTCGTTTAATAAAATTATGGAAATGCAAGCATTAACTTTATAATACTAAAATAACCATCGAAAAGAAGGGTATGGGAGACAAGGACTGTCTATGGTTCAGCGTTGAGGGTGTGTTATTTTCTCCGCTGATCGGGCACGCGACAAGGAAACGGTCTGTGGACTACGCCGTTCTATTCCAAAAGTGGCGTAATAACATTGACATAGCTTATTACGTTAGTTAAATGGGGTGTAGCATGACGAGACTACGTGTCTTTCCCGTGGCCTGACTCGATCGGGGCCAATCGGGTATACGACGCGACCGCAGTATGGCACGTGCGTGCAACATACGCGAAACCGAAGCGTGAGGAGAACTTCGGTCTGTTTCGCAAACGCTACCGCGTCACCTTTCCCCCAAATGTATCATTGTCAGCAGTGGCATAAACATAGTGGCCCGAATTCACAAAGGAGGTTTGTCGACAAACCTTGGTTTTCGTACGTCATATGACGCATTTTTACGCGTTTTTTTTTACAAACCTGGTTTGTAAAGAACAAAAGGAGGTTTGGCGAAACAAAAGGAGGTTTGTCGACAAACCTTCTTTGTGAATTCGGGCCAATGTAGGGGAACCCGGGGCAAAGTGGAACGCGGGGCAAAGTGAAAAACGCCCGTAATTTTTTTTGTTTATGCTGCCATCTATCTAAGTTCACGCGCCAATAACACAACGAGGATGCATCGTTTTTTTACTTGAGTTGCGCGAATACGTCAGCTATGTGTACTTGTTATGGAAATTGGAAAATATCGGTTTTTCATACATAAAAACCGATAATTAATATAATAATATTATCTGCTAAAATACTGTGTATCTGCCGAATTATCACGAAAGCCATTATAATGATGGATGGGCTTAAGCTTATTTTTATACATCGTAGCACCGCTAGTAATCATTGGTCCACGTGAAGTAATGCATGTCTCGTCTGTACAATTTCACTTTTTCGGTGCAAAGTGGTTGGGGCATAGTGGGATGTTTTACGTGGTGTTTCACTTTGCCCCGGAGGTCCGTGGCAAAGTGGATTTTTAATACTTTTTTCAAGTGCATAGTATTTAATAAAACTGATTATTTGAGAAACATTGTTAGTGTCATTTGTTAGTGGTAGTCCCAAGGTAAAAGTATAGACCAAGTGTTTTGCTTTACTTTGCTTTGTAATCCTGTTCTTGTTGTTCAAATATTTTTGGTCCACTTTGCCCCGGGTTCTCCTAATGTGCTGCAATTTTGTTATATTATGCCATTGTGGCAAACATGTAGGTAGACTACCTTGGATCTAAACTCGTTTTTATTCCACAAATGTCATTAGGACTTGAGAGGTGGTTCATGGACATGTCCATATTCAGCCTAGTTTTGGATCTCAGACTACAAAAAGGTGGTTCTTCCTAGCTTCCTAATTCAAGCCCCCCCCCCCTTCCCGAAACATTAAAAAAGAACATTATAGTAGAAAAAGATATTCTTATATTTTCTTTATTACTTGAAACTCTGTTTACAATGATGTTTTTTCAGAATGAGTTTTTCTGCCTAACTCTAAATTGACATGAAAAATCATAAAAACCTCTCGTTTTTTCAATGGCGGGTACCATAAATATTAGAACTTGTTATATTTATGGATATTTCGGCCGTCTTAATTGAACCGATTTGATCAAACAAAAATAAATTTGTCATTTAAATTGTATGATCTTTCAAATTTGTTACTCAGTTTTTCATTATCTCACAAAAAAAAAAATTGATTTTGTGTAGCGCCCTCTGCTACAAAATTCAACTATCCCTTCAAACTAACCACGTTGTAAAAGATAATAAATGCGACAGCCTGTTAACTAATGCAAAACTTCGAAATCGATTTTGATAATTATTTACTCTGTTCACATTGATTATATTTCATATTTGTCGTAATTTGTAGGTTTATTTGCATTTTCTCTTTGTTTTGTCTAATATGTAATTCTTTATCAATGTATTTTGTTTGTTAAAGTGCTTAGAGATTTTGGTGGTAAGTGCTTTATGAGCACCGTTTTTAATTATTATTATTAGTAGTATTATGTGTATACACACACTACACAGATCCTCCAAGAAAGGCTCGTTCATATATATATATATATATATATATACTGGATCCTAATCAAATGATTGGTTGAGCGCATACACGTGACCATCGATTTATTTTGCCCAACGCGACATAATGACCGTTTCATTATCAAATGGTAATGACCGGTCATTAGTAAAATCATGTTATAAAACATCATTTTATAAAACAAACAAATAAAACATAATCTTATAAAACAAATAATACACATCATTTTGTTCGGGCATAGTGAAATTACCCACACTCGGTACCTTCAAAACAGTCCGAACACGCCAGAGGCAAAGTGTTAGACTCTTCCAAAGGTACCTTGTGTGGGTAATTCTTATTATATTCCACATACTAAGAATCTTGCTCTACGATTGGTCAAAAGTAAATCACGTGATGAAAGATAGTTCGCCCATTATTGATGGGAGAAGCAAAAAGTTCGTTACACTGTGTAGATAGTACTACTATCTACACAGTGCAACGCACTTTCACTGAAAATAGAGGTACTATCTATACAGGGCAACGCACTTTCACTGAAGATTATCCAAAAGCGCACTAAAACAGGCGTAATTAAGCGCACATTACCATTGAGCGCAATTAAAGAAAACACATGCACGCCCCTTACCCTCAAGGGGTTGGGTTAAACTTAAACTTTTTTGTTGTGACTTTGGGCATAGATGTCTGTTATTTAAATGCATACACATCGTTTTCTTTTGTAGTTAAATTGTTTTAGCTGTGGAATATAAAGCAAATAATCACCTTTCAGTTTCAGGCGATGGCAAACTATCACTTCCTCGTCGATCAGAATGTATACGCTATCTTTCCTCAGCAGCTTCGCTTCGGAAAGATAGCTACATCTAGATCGCCTCGGAAGTGATAATTTGTCCTATCACCTTCATCAACGGTAATTATTTGCTTACTAATGCCCTCACTGCTGTGTATTATTTGTATACTGACTCATAATCGCACTTGAAAATTATAGGTCCAAAGTCCAGTTTCGATTGATCCAACCCGGATACATCCATACATTTCAAGACAGTTCCCTAGCTTATAGCAATACAATTTACTAACAAGACATTAACATAGCCTTGCTGAACGTGAAATAGGGCTTTTCATTATTTTATCTGCGGAAAATATTCTTTTTGATCGAGTTGCGACCATCATGGCCGATTTAAAACCCGGGGACTTCGTGACCCTCAGTGTCGGAGGGGTGCCATACACGACGACCGCGCTGACATTGACATCATTCTCAGACTCCATGTTAGGAGGGATGTTCAGCGGCCGAATCGAAGCCCAGCGGGATGAGGTCAAAGGTCACTTCCTTATTGACAGGGATGGTGAACTTTTCAGGTATAATAATACTTCTTCGTCTTCTTCAATAAAATCCTCCTCCTTCTTCTTTAATTCTTTATTTTCTTCTCCTTCGTTTTCATCTTTTTGCCTGGTTTTTCTTCTAACCCGATCGCAAAGACTTTGAAGAAATGATTTAATGGCAATTTCAATATCTCATTGTATTGCCAATACAAATTATGTTCGTATTTTGTCATTGCTATGTGCTAACATTAATTTCTATAATTAGTGACACACAAGGCTATGGAATTTGCCTGGTGTTTGGTGATCAAGCGTCGATTATTAATAATCATTCTTTGCAGTGTGTGTGTGTGTGTGTGGTGTGTATGCGTGTGTGTGAATGTGTGCAGGGGTGGCGACCCCCTATTTTTTTTTTTTTTTTTGGGGGGGGGGATCATCCCCCCTGGAAAAATTTAAAAAGTGCAACAACAACGTAGTATAGCAAATACTGACTAAAGAGTGTAACAAACTTTTAGGCCCTGACGGCCCAAGAGTGCAGCGTTTAGACTTATAAAAGTGCAAAAATCTCCTCACTCGGTAGCTAACCGCCCTCGCATATTATCCTTCAAAATGTACAAATAAATATTGTAGACAATTTGTATTCCGTTGGTATTACGTAAGCTTGCTCGTTTCAGTAAATAGTTACTTCAACAAAGTCTATATATTTGTCAGGCTGATATTTACCATTTCAACTCCCATAGCGATATCAATATACACGTTTATGACAGAGGCCTAGAGTGGGAATGGAAATCCCATCCATGCCCAAGCTCCCTGCTGATACTAAATTTACCTACTAAACTGATATTTACAGCCTTCGGACGCACACTAATTACCGGCAAAGTAAAAGTGAAGTGTGAAGAAAGGTATTAGCCTATTATTTGGTTTTATACTAAAGATTCGTTAAGAAAATGTAATTTTTTAAGTTGCAGTTGCCCCCCCCCCCAAACAAATAGTCAAACCTTTTTTCTCATTTTTTGGTATATTATACTTTTGTATGCGTTTATGGAAAATGAAAAATTCCGAATGTTACAGTCAGGCAGAAAATATGGTTATTTAGGACCCTACATGTCAGGGCCAGGGGATCAGCGAGGCTCGACCCCCCCCCAACGGTCTCCTCACTTTTTTGAATAAGTATTATGCAGAGAAATATAATTAAAGAAAGAAAGACTAGTGACTTGCCAGTACCACAAATGAGGTTTTAAAATATGCTCATCTGACCGTAATTAAATACCTAAAGCCACTGGGCTTGCGGGCGCTTCGCCCCTGGACCCCATAAGGGGGCCTCGGGCGGGCCCTGTATGCTCATCTGACCGTAATTTCAGGGAGCTTCGCCCCTGGACTCCACGCCAATTAGTGACCTGCATGCCAGTGTCAAAAATAATTTTTAAAATATGCTCATCTTACCGTAATTAAATGCCTAAAGCCCTGAGCTTCCGGGGGGGGGGGGGTCCATCTCTTGACCCACTGTCGGGGCTGCGCCCCTGGCCCCATGCAATTTACGCTCCACTCTACCTGATCATTAATACTTAGCCCCCCCCCCTTTGAAACACGTTCCGCGGGGCATGCATGTAACATAATAGTGATGGTGATGCGGAATTGTTTCTCTTCTGCCCCCTCCCCCCAATTTTTTGCTCATTACGCCGCTGGTTCCTCGCAATTCGTCACCCTTCCGGCCATGAAAAGAAATCGCCGCCCCTATGTTTGTGTGTGTGGGGGGGGGGGGGGGAGGGGAATATACAAATTGACCCCATACACCTGTGTGTTAATGACCAATGCTACTAAGCCATTTCTGCCTCCTTCTATATTTCATTGTCAGGTATGTTCTGGGCTTCCTGCGGAATCGAACTCTTGGTATCCCTGAAGATTTTAAGCAACTTCACATGCTTCTCTTAGAAGCTGAATTCTACCAGATAGAACCAATGTGTGAAGACATTCGAGAACTGCTGCGAAAACCCGACCCCGAGGTACAAATTTGGTCATATATAGGGGAATGGGGAAGGACTGGTTCATCTAAAAGTATTGTACATAGCCCTACAAAGTTTTACGCATGTAAATGTCCCAAGTGTCACTGCATGCAGTATATTTCGACATCTTGTTGTTCCGTATAAGATACTATAAAACAAAATATTTTCAATGTTATTGTCTCACATACCCTGATCAACATCTCTGTAATGAACCCCTGCATGAGCAGCTTCGGCATTCCCTCCCTTGCCAGGCGAAGAAATGACTTACTAACCAACTTTTCCAATTCAATCCTTGTCTCCTCGCGACACCGTGATTTGCTTCCGGCTGAACGACAGCATCTCTCGCGAGGTGGACTTAGGAATTCTAACCACCTACATATTCCTTATGCAAGAACTGAACGATACAGAAAATCAAGTATCCCCACACTTGTCAAACTGGTCAATGCTCATAATAATGTATCCTATTTATTTTTCTTCTTCTTTTTAACAATATTAGAGTTATTGTTTTGTATTTTGTTTAAAGATAAACTTGAGTTCTGGTAAAAAAAAAAAAAAAAATGAAAATTCACAGAGTCTAACGAAACTTACACTGAATGTTCAAGATTACAAATAAATGTCATGTGCAAAACAATTTTGGAAGAAAATGTATACTGGCTGAGTAATGAGCATAGAAAGATAAGGAAATCAGGGTAGTACTAGCCCCGACACCATGTGTGTTGTCCCATATACATCTTTCTGTGTAAGTGATTGTTACTTTACCAAGACTCTGCCAATTTATGATGATTTTGATGACTCCAGAACCTTGCATTACACAACATTACTTACATGCTATATGATCAACTTTTCTGATCCATTCCACACCTTTTCTTTCACAATGCAATCGCATTACCAGAACTCAAGTTTATCTTTAATTGAACTCAAGATCGATCCAAAGTTCAAAAGTTCGTGCACATATTATTGAGTGCTCTTTATGTTCTTATAAAGTTGTTCTTAAACCACCGTGTATAATTCTACTGCAATAATATAATTGTAACTCAACTTCAATTTAAAATGTAATGGGGAAACTTAAAAATTATAAGAATTTGTGTATGATCATAGACATCAGGCGCGTACGCAGGATTTTTTTCAAGGGGGGGGGGGGGTTTTAACATTTATAAATCGGGCCGAAAATTTCGCAACGACTCAGCCAGCCGCTGAATAAGCGGGGGGGGGGGGGTAAGATCAGCTTTTTTAGGTCAACCATGGGAAAAAAATCCAAAAGGGGGGGGGGGTTTTAGAGAAATTTAGGGGGGGGTTTACACACACAAAATTACTAAAGGGGGGGGGGGTTAACCCCCCAACCCCCCCCCCCCCTGTGTACGCGCCTGATAGGCATTATACATCACTTTATATGAAATGCTTTAATGATATATATTTAATGTAATAATTCCATTCAACATAATTTGATCTTACCTGTCACACAACAGACACACCTGCATGTATACTTTTTCAGTCTATGGACCTCATGTTAACAATTGCAATTTAATAATTTCCTCTCTCTCTCTCTCTCTCTCTCTCTCTCATATATATATATTTTTTTTTTCAAATAATTTTTTAATTTAAAGATTGTTTGTACTTGCAATAATTGCTTCAACATTTCAAGTTACTGTTATAGGTTGTTCGTCCATCTATTATCATTTATTTATATATGTATATAACTTTAGGTATGAACAATAATGTTAACTTTAACTTTTATCATTTGTATTGTACACTTATATGATCATTCCTGTTTTCATGCACATTTTATGTAAACATTGCATTATTGGTCCCTGGACTACTGCATTGTACATTGTATATGTTGATATTAATAAACCGAAATTGAATTGATTTGACAAAAAATTGAATATGGGAAAAATAATAAGCCATTATTTCCTAAACACTATTGATAAACTTTTCTTTGTTTTGTTAATTAAATGGACAGGTAATCGAAGTTGAGGTTCGCTCTTTTCGCGCTTTCGATAAAGATCGACAATGGTTTGCCTTTCACTTGTTGACGAAACAAATTAAGAATCAGAAAATCCTGGAAAAATGGAAAATTGATGGTCCAAACGAAACCCTCCGGAAGGTTCCATGTCTCAAAAGCAAAATTGACGAAATACGGGCTTCATCGACCCCGCCCTTATCAGGAGGCACCGAACATGATTTCTGGCGAGTGGAGTTTCTGGAAAGTGTAGCATATCAACAGAGTACATCTGACAAGTTTAATCAGTCAAAGCTGTTCCTGGAGATCGGACGACTTGGATTTAGTCTCAAAGCAACAGAGACACACTGGCCACATACGAAGGATTGCCGGGAAAAGTGTCAACAATGGATATTCACGCGAACATAATCTAAGCACGGACCTAGGGCCATAGTTAAAGTTAATAGACATTTATGTTTACATGGACTGTCTGTTATTTGTATGGAAGAAATGTTCATAAAAAGTAATAACAATGAAAAAACAACAACAGATTTTGACAGTTAAATGCAGAAAATCTGGAAATGAATATAAGCCTATATTCATTGAAACACAACAATTCATCTACCCATCAGACTACCATTTTTCAATGACACCAAAATGTAAGACATAACAATTTGATTTGATTCGATTTGATTTATTGGTTTCTGCATCTCTTTTCTTTTTTCATGAACATAATATATGGTTTGATACAATATTTTAAGTGTATATAATTTTAAACAGATAATAAACGAAATTAAACAAATATATTGAATGCATAATTAACATACATAAACGATGATGTACTAATCTTTAACAAAAAATCTATTGTACATTTTCATGAACATAATATATGGTTTGATACAATATTTTAAGTGTATATAATTTTAAACAGATAATAAACGAAATTAAACAAATATATTGAATGCATAATTAACATACATAAATGGTGATGTACTAATCTTTAAAAAAATAGTCATTATAGTGCAGATAAGTTTAATTTTATTTCTTCCTTCTCTCTGTTTGTATTATGCAGGTTGATCCTGGAGGTATGATTACTAGGCTTTGTTCAGGATATACAATGTATATCGACGATCATGAAATTATTATTTATTATTATTTTGTTTTAAGTAACATAATTTTTTATATTTAATCTTAATTCAAGTAAAGAGATATCTTAGGGATGCTGAACTGGATATTAATAATAATAATATTTAAATGTTATATTGCGCTTAATAGCGCTTAAATTAAAAAAAAAGATTGAATAAAATTGAATAGTAATAGTAATAATCATAATAACAATAATAACGATAATAACAAGTGATGATAAAAACAATAATATATTGGATACAAAATAATATTGATAAAAATTACCTTATGCCAATCCTTTACAAAGAAATATAGCATGATGATAATTAAATTAATCATATGGATTTTAATTGATACAAGTTTTTTGACAAAATTGAACAACTGAAAAATTGGTGTTTAAGAGACAGCAGCCCCCCCCCCATTCATTGCTTTCTTTATTTTTTGATGTAATGTTATGATATGCTGCATTTGAAAAGATAAATTAAATTTTTTAATGTTGATAAATGAGTCAATAAAGGTTGATAAAATTACATGTATTTGATACTGCGGAATTCTTTTCTTGTCAGTTTCTTATATTGTGAATGGTATTAAGTAATGCTGATAGTGAAACTTGCTAATGATAATACAGGTACAAGATATATTTTATTTTATATTATAAGCACATGAATAATTCATTTAGCTTGCAGTAATAATTAATGGTCATATATTCGGATAGCCTTCGGATGATCAAATTTCAATGTATTACTTTTTATTTCTAAATTATATTTCATACCATACGCATAATGTATGATTAATTTTGCTTCCGGTAATTACAAATGGATAAATTTGGACATGCGTTTGATGATGAAATTTCATAGGGTATCTTTGTATTTACATACTGCATACGTGCTTTGTTTGGTAACCCTCTGGTTAGATTTAATTACACAACTTTGTATCACCTTAAACTTTACACATAGTATTCATAAATGCATTAACTTACCTATAAATGAAAAACTATTGTGGTCCTATGATACTCTGTTTATGCAATGCGACGGTAACATCATACATTAAGAATACTGTGCTTCACGCTAACGATTATGATAGCTAAAAAATAATATGCTTTTCAGCTTAAATATCACAATGAACACATCAAAGCACATTTGTCAAAGTGTGACAACAAATTTCGTGACATACAGGTAATTTAACTATGCGATTGAATAAAATGAATGTAATTATCTTAAATCATTCAAATAGTCTTACTTGTTAATGTTTACAGTGCCAGTTCAGTCGAGTCCTGGCTTCAGCAGGTTTGCGCTGAGTTCGTAATACATGTAATGTAATTATATACATACGTTATCAACAACCAACAAAACAAAACGAACAAACAAAAAACATCAACACACCGAAATCAAGTTCTCTTTCTGTACTACCTGTACATTACGACCAATGTGTAAACCACATTAGGCATGCTGTGACCTCTTCCCGGTAAATATGTGATTGTCAAAGACTACTTGGATAGGTTTCAATATAGTGACTGCTTGAAGACGACCTTAAAGAACTAATTTCGTGATAGTTCAAGGAATCGTTTACTGATTAAGTCAGATTATCTATTTTTAAAAAAAATTCCCAGAACTTTGCATTAGTTTTAAAGGAACAGTAAAGATAACTGATCAATAATAGAAATAGGAAATGATTCTGATGATTATTGAGGTACTCAGATTCGTTGATGTGGGCTAAGATGCATGTAGCTATACCACTATACCAGATGCAATGCCAGTAAGATTCCTAGACAGGAATCCCGGGGATGGGGGCGTCCCCCGTGATTGGTCAAGAGGGATGAGCCCAATCTCAAATGTACCCCATGATTTCCCAACTTTCTTCCTGTAAATTTACTGGTCTTATTTTGGAATATTAGAAGCTAATTTAAAGTTCAGGGGGTACTGCCCGCCCGCCCCCCCCCCCAATTTAACATAATTACCATCGAATTACATTTCCCCTTTCGGCATTGGTACTATATGCTCCCTTTACATATTTTATTGGATTGGCCCCAGTTGGGAATGTTCATAACTCCAATGAGTATGGAATAAATGTATATATACATGAATAGAACCTTACATGTCCCATTGACAACTTCGGTATTAAATCTTTACATGACACAACATTTTAAATATTCAGAAAATTAAGCGTATGAGCGAAATAATATATTTGTCGGTTATGGATGGTATTTTAAGAGCACTGAAGCATACGGTTCATGTAACAATTGATATATAGGATGTATTTTACTACGGAGCTCAGTTCATCTGTTCATGGAATGAATACGTAGGAAAATAAGAAAGTATAGTGAGTTTACTATTTTCCAGTTATCGGTTATAGGAATCTTTCAAAACGCAGAAGGTCAAATTGACTAATTTCCGAATGTCCAATATTTTTTTTTAGAATATCACTTACACGTGTTTGTAGTTTAGTTGTGTTACTCGAAGACTACGACGATGCTCCTTCTTAATATCTTGATAAGTCTTGAGACGTCTGACCAGAATGCATCTATAACGACAGTTTGTTTGTAACTAACTTGTGCTCCTCAAAAACGGCAAATGTGCTCCTCCTTTTAAGATTTGAGATGTTTGAATGCCACTCTCCCAAATGATTATGTAGTCAAAATCTTCTTATGAAATATATAAATATAATAATATATTATATAAATATATAAATACTCGTTAATTACATGTATGTACCCTTTTAACGTACCCGATGTGTGATTTAAACATCTTTTAGTTCTTTAAAATGTTTTTTTATACCCTTGAGATACGCACGTTCCACCTCCAACATCATTAGCCTTTTCCTCGGTGTTTGTGTACGCACATGATGTACAATGGCATTTGTTATTTTAGGATTGCATGTTTGAGTCATGACTACTATATGGTAGCTTTTGTTCATAAATATTGTAAGTTCAGATCAAGAGGTACTAAAAATGGCACACATGTTTTATTACGATCGTGCTATACCACAGCACTTATCGAATCTTCCAAAGATGGAATTGAAAGTCTCACACACGCAGTAAACGATGCCGGCAAGAAACCCAACTTGCATTTAAATGTTAAAAAGACTAAACTCCTATTTGCTGGTAAAACCTCAGATACCGATTGTAGCATCCTGATCGACGGGGAAACAGTCAAAGATGTGGAAAGCTTCAAAGATCTTGGATCTACAAAGAACAGCGATGCCAGCTGTACCAGTGACATAAAGATAAGAATAGCTATAGCAAAGAAGAGAATGGTTGACCTGCATGTACTTTGGAATGACAGGAACATCTCAACCGGTATGAAAATAAAACTGGCCAAAACCCTGGTTTGGAGTGCTTTATGGTGCTGATAGCTGGACACTGCTCAAAGCCAATGAAAATCGCATCATGGCAGCAGAAATGTGGTTCTGAAGGAAAATGCTAATGATCAGCTGGAAGGACAAAAGAACTAACCTCAGTGTTCTTCAAGAACTAAACACAGAAAGAGATCTCCTTGGAAAAGTGGCCCGCCTCAAGATGGGTTACTTTGGACACATTCTGCGTGGCAGTGGAATCTCCTTAACAGAAAGCCAAGTAGAAGGGAAAAGAAAAAAAGTCAGACAGAGAAAGCAGTGGTTCGATAACATCAAAGAATGGACAGGTCTCACATATTCAGAAGCCAAAAGATTAGCACAGGATAGAAACAAAATGGAGAAAGACAACATGAAGATGTGCAGATGTGGTTGCCAATCGCCAGCAACTAAAGGTGGCAGCCAGGCAGGAAGGTATACTAGTTGTGCTTTTTGTAGAAACCTAGATGAAAAATCGGAGTGTTATCATTCGCATTCCTGTGTTTTCATTTTTCCCGTTTTTTATATTGAAGGTCCAAAATCATGATGGTCAACTTATTTATATCCTTAAATATCTTTTTCAAGATAAAGACACCTAAAGTTTCATAGAATTACTCACTTTGAATACGTTTCAGCACAGGCCCTCCTGACTATATATTAATCGGGATATAGAATGAAAGGCAGTTCCTTTTCGTGAAATGTTTCTTTATTATGACTACACACAGAGAAAAGTAGGTGTAAATTGACTCTCTATAGGGAGTAACTGCCTGTCACATAAGTGACACCCCCAGGGAGTAAATTTACTTCCCAATGTAGGGAGTAATTTTTTTTTTCATAAGAAGGTGTAAATTTGCACACCAAGGTTATGATTGTACTCCCTTTGAGGAGTGAAATTTGCACCCAATGGTGCTCATTTAACACCTTTTGATTCCATTTTCATGAAAAATGGGTTCAAATTGACACCTGTGGGGTTGAATTTTATACCCTTTATGATCGATTCCACACCCTGTGGGGAGTAAATCTAAACCCTTTTTATGCACAGCATCAACCAATTGATCATCTTCGAGCAATCAATCATCCATGCTTCGTAATCACCTAACAGTCACTGATTCTCACCCTTTTGTCTACGTTTCACTGCTCTAAAGAAATCAGACCAGAATGTCGAGTTGTAAGTTGAAAGGCTTTAATGCTTACCTAAACAACAATTAGTGTGAACTCAATACAAGTGCAGACTGTAAGAACTAACTTATGGCTGGACTTATCGGTTCAAATGTAATGGAATTACTTAAATACACAATCCTGCATTACGAAATATCTTCCCTTTACTTACACATATAAGAAGACAATTATGTACTAGTTCGTAAAACAACACTTCTGCTAATTTCATTAAATTATCAAATATAACCTACGGTACAACCCCTTATTCTTGATCGGATAGTTTTCACACAAATAATATGCCCAAATAAATCATGATAATTCCCCTAACATGACTAAAATATGTGAATTGTGCAAATTTTTCTTCATCTGGCAGTACCTATATTGACACGATGCGCCATTGCTGTAGCGCATGCTCATACGCACTGACCAATCAGAGCTCGTCTGACTAACATAGGGTGTAAAATTACATCCCTCAAATATACACCCTTGCGTATTTCCGTATATTCCAAAATGTCCCGTAATTGTTTTAAATGTTTTAATTTGTTATACCATAGCCACATTAATAGATTATTTTGACTCTGCAATAATTACAAGTAAATACATCAGAATATTCTTTTGATGATAACTGACATTTAAATTTACTGCTCTTTATATGTCACTTAGCTTTCGTATTTTAAGCACATGAATAATCAAAATTACTTGCTGTAAATAACTATTCGGAAAGTCTTCAAATTAAAATATATTGTCAACGTTGAGGCATACCGCTTTTTTATATGTCAATTATATTTCATATGATAAGCAAATGGATGATTAATTGTGCTTCCTCGGATGAAATTACAAATGTATATATGCTATAGCTACTCAAATATATTTAAGATGATGAATTTACAATGAAAAATGTATTTTTTAAAAGATTCAATGTCATTATGCAATAACATCATTACCAGCGTGTTTACAAGTAGTGTATTGCGATTCCCTTTGTGCCTATGTACATAAATTCGTTGCGTATTCGTTTTTCGAAACTTCCTGGCTATATTTAAAGGGATAGCTGAGTTTAAAGGGATAGTAGAGAAGGTAGAAGACTTTGTCTTCCTTGGAAGTGTAGTCCCCTCTGTTACCAAAGATGTCAAGAGACGCACAAATCTAGCTTCCTGGGCATTTGGCAGACTGAGAAACAATACCAACCAAGATATTTCAAGAGCCCTGAAGGTCAGGATTTATAATGCCCTCATTCGTCCTATAGCTACCTACGGGTCTGAGACGTGGACGCTAAGGAAAACTGACCGGGATAAACTGGAGACCTTTGAGATGAGATGTCTGCGGACAATAGCAGGAGTCCATCTTCTAGATAAAATCAGAAGCGTAGACATCAGAAAGTCATTGAAAATCCCGAGACAATAAATGAGGAAATATCCAACCGCCGCCTGAAATGGTTTGGACATGTGGTACGTATGCCACATGAACGCCTACCAATACAAGTCCACACCAATGACTTTACTGTGCCACGGCCACCAGGACGTCCTCCCCTGAGGTGGAAAGACCAAATCCGCCAAGACTCTGGATTAAGCATGGAGGCTGCCCAACATCAAGCCCAGGACAGAAATGAATGGAGGCAGACCACCCGTAGGAGCGCAAGGGGACACTCCGTCCTGAGCACTTAAGTCAAGTAAGTAAGTTGAGTTCTGTTTGCCTTCAAAGTGCATGGTAATTGCTCTTATGCTTATGTATTAAAATTTATAGTGCCCTTTTAGAACCTAAAATTGCTATGAAGGTAATTTTAGACCCCAAAATGTGTGATATTTAGCTAATACGATCACACTAATTCAGCTTCACTTAAACAAAAAACCCGGTGACCGTTAATTAATTGTTTAATTAGAAATAACAATACATGAGCCGGCTAATTGTGGGTAATATAAGCAACACGAAAATGTCAACAAAAAAGCCAACATCGGCATTGGCTGAAATACGACGTTAAATGCGTTATTTCCTTTTTTTTTCAACGGTTTTTTAAAATTTGTCAAAATATCTAATATTTGTGGTGGTACACAAGTATTAGAAATCGTTATATTTCGGCCGTCTCTGAACCGATTTTGATCAAACAAAGATGATTTTGTCATTTAAATATTATGTTCTTTCAAATTTGACAGTCAGTTTTTTATTATCTCACACAAAAATTATTTTGTGTAGCGCCCTCTGCAACAGAACTCAACTATCCCTTTAAGTAGATGTAATTACCGAACCTTTTATCATTCCTAATCTTTCCATAATTGCAAATTGATATATCTAAACAAAACATTAGCATGAAAATCTCTCGATATTGCTATGATACTGTATACGTAAAGAGGTGAAAATGTTAGATTATATTTGCTTACAGATAACTGTATTTTTATCATTTCAATCCGAAATCATTAAACGCTTTATATCCTACATAAAAATAAATGTACTTGTACTTGCTTGTTTCCTGCATATGTGACTGAAATAACTTTAACATACACTAAACTTATCTTTTAAAGAGCAAACCACTTAAACTAACTTAAACAAAAAATGTCTTATTTAAACAAGTTAATGATACAGGATTCCATCTTTTGAAAATTTCCAATTTGAATGACCCGATGGCAATCCTCAAACACTGTAAATGTCAGCTTTTGACGTCAAATGTTCTTTGACATGTCCATCTTATCAAAGAGCGGGCATTTTGGCAGATTTGCAGGTGAACATGTCCTTGAGAGCGTTTCTGAACTCAAGATACCTTGCCGCATAGATGATGGGATTGGCGCAAGAGTTGTAGAAACCAAGCACGGTGAGCATCCGATGGGAGGGGGCTGTTCAGATAGGATATAGGAACCCAGCCGAGGCTGTAACCGAGGTAGGCAATCTGGTTCGGCGTCCAGCATACGATGTAGATGATGATGACGGATGACAGATTTTGATAGGGACATTTATCAGAAGTGAAAGGGGCATTAAAGAGAAAGTTGACGTGGCTCTTATTACAACTAAAAAGAGGCGAACGTTTAAATAACCGGGGCACTTATCAGACTAGATGAAAAGGAGTAATTATGAGAAGGGGAGGGGCACGTGCCAAATAAAAGGGGCAGTTATTAGAGGTGAAAAGCCGACACTCATCAGAAATAAATAGAGCACTTTACCGAGTTAAAAAGGCGGTAGTCATTAAAAGACAAGGGGCACTTCTTACATAGGAAATAGGCACCTCGTACATGAAAAGGGGCACATACTAGAGATTTAGAAGGGCACTTATGAAAATTGAAAATGCACACACTTTTTATTCCAAAGGAAAAGGGAACTTGTCGAATGAAAAAGGCACGTGTAAAACAAAAGGGGCACTTATCAGAGGTGAAAAGAGGGAGGGGCACTTTTACAAATTAATAAGGCACTTTTCATAGTGAAAGGGTCACTTTCCTATGTAAAAAGGGTCACTTAAGGGGTACTTGAAAAAGTGGGGGGGGGGGGTCACTGTGCTCCCCCGAAAAGCCGACTCTGGTTGTTAGTATGAAGCACTGATCAACTTTTTTTCTTGCGCCCATTCTTTGAATGTATAATTTATTGTGTGCAAGTGGTAACTTTAGCATGGTCGCACAAAACACACTCGGCCAGCGACATCTCGTGTGTTTTTAACCATGCCCAAATTTACCTTGTTCACACAATCCCTCCCGACCCACTCATACCTGCGCATCATTTTATACTGAAACATTTTTCTTTTAAGTGAATTAGTATTCTAATAAAAGTTTAACAAACGAATCTCAGTGAGGAAGTAGAACATTCTCAGATGGACATCAACATCGAAGTGCTTATGATTGTCGTGGCAGTCAGTGGGTTCCTGCACTGTCACAACGAAATTTCCCCTATCCCTTTTCTTAATTTGGTCTGACCAAAAAATTAGATTAGTCTATTGTAATTTTTTTTGAAAACAATCAAAAGTTTACCTTAGAACATTTGATTTTGATACCTTTCTGAATGTTTATTTCATAGCACGATGACCGACAATAATCAGTGGTAGATGTGGACATGTTAATGCTAAAGGGGGGGGGGGGGGGCTGACGGTCAACAACAAAAAAGGAATTTAAAAAAAAAGAAATCTCACGAATTAGGTCTAACAAAAAATAATAGTGTCTCACCCACCCCCCCCCCCCCCCGCTTATTCACTGGCTGACTGAGTCGGCGCAAAATATTTCCTCACGGATTGGTTCCCCCCCCTCTCCCCTCTTCCCGCCGGCTGGATCCGCCACTGAGGTACCTTGTACTTGTGTGGGTGATTCTTACTAATGCCCTCACTGCTGTGTATAATTTGTATACTGACTTATAATCGCACTTGATAATTATAGGTCCAAAGTCCAGTTTCGATCGATCCCACCCGGATACATCTGTACATTCAAAGACAGTTCCCTAGCTTATAGCGATACAATTTACTAACAAGACATTAACACAGCATTGCTGAACGTGACATAGGGCTTTTCATTATCTGCGGAACATATTATTTTTTGATCAAGTTGCGATCATTATGGCCGATTTAAAACCCGGGGACTACGTGACCCTCAGCGCTCGGAGGGGTGCCGTACACGACGACCGTGCTAACATTGACATCATTCTCGGACTCCATGTTGGGAGGGATGTTCAGCGGCCGAATCGAAGCCCAGCGGGATGAGGTCAAAGGTTACTACCTTATTGACAGGGATGGTGAACTTTTCAGGTATAAGACTTCTTCGTCTTCTTCTTCATAAATCCTCCTCCTTCTTCTTTAATTCTTTATCTTCTCTTCTCCTTCGTTTTCATCTTTTTTGCCTGGTTTTTCTTCTAACCCGATCGCAAAGACTTTGAAGAAATGATTTAATGGCAATTTCAATATCTCATTGTATTGCCAATACAAATTATGTTCGTATTTTGTCATTGCTATGTGCTTACATTAATTTGTATAATTAGTGACGCCCAAGGTTCGGGACTTTGTCTGGGGTTTGGAGATCAAGCGTCGATTATTAATTATCATTCTTTGCAGTGTATGTGTGTGTGTGTGTGTGTGTGTGTGTGTGGGGTATACAAATTGACCCCATTAATTTGCGTTTTAATGATCAATGCTACTAAGCCATTTCTGCCTCTTTCTATATTTCATTGTCAGTATGTTCTGAACTTCCTGCGGAATCGAACTCTTGGTATCCTGAAGATTTTAAGCAACTCCACATGCTTCTCTTAGAAGCTGAATTCTACCAAATAGAACCAATGTGTGAAGCCATCCGGGAACTGCTGCAGAAACCCGACCCCGCGGTACGAATTTGGTCATTAATCAATAATAGAGGGAAAGAGGTGCATGGGTCCACCTCATAGAATTGAACATATTCCTATGAATTTCATTGCATTTTAATGTCCAAAGTGTCACTGCATGCATGCAGTTATTTCGACATCTGGTTATTTCGTTTAAGATACTGTAAAACAAAAGATTTGAAATGTTATTGTCACATGTGGGAAAACAAGCCATTATAAACTTTTATCGTGTTTTGATCCTTTCATGGACAGGTAATCGAAGTTGAGGTCCGCTCTTTTCACGATCAGAACACTTGGACCCATTTTCCTGGAACCTGGGAAGCATTAGGGGTTTGACAATCCTGGAAGAATGGAAAATTGATGGTCCAAACGAAACCCTCCGGAAGGTTCCATGTCTCAAAAGCAAAATAGACAAACGGTGGATTTCATCGAAAGCTCCGTTTCGGAACATGATTTCTGGCGAGTGGATTTTTTGGAAAAAGTAGCATATCAACAAAGTACACCTGACAAGTTTAATCGGTCACAACTGTTCCTGGAGATCGGACGACTTGGATTTAGTCTCAAAGCAACAGAGAATCACTGGTCAAACGATTGCATGGCGAAGCGCCAACAATGGGTATTCACGCGAACATAATCTGAGGCATCGCTAGACCATTGCACATGGGGGGGGGGGGGGGGGGGTGGGGGGGGGTGAAGGGGTTGACGGATCAATGTTCAATTTTTCCAGCAAGCAAGCAGAAAAAGAAACATGTATATTAACAATGTCAAAGTTGTAGTACTATAGTTTCATAATTAATTGATTAATGAACACATCATAACACATTCACTTTATATATTATGTAGTGTGACAGCAGATTTCGCGAACTACTGGTAAGTTAACCATGTGATTGAATCCAGGCGCGTACACAGGGGGGGGGGGGGGGGGGGGGGGGGGGGGGGGGGGGGGGGGTGGGGGGGTTGGGGGGGTTTAACCCCCCCCTTTGGTAATTTTTTGTGTGTAAACCCCCCCTCTAAATTTCTCTAAAACGCCCCCTTTTGGATTTTTTTTTATAAAAAAAAAAGAAAAAAAAGAAAAAAAAAAAAAAAAATTCCCATGGTTGACCTTAAAAACTGACCTTACCCCCCCCCCCACGGAGCAAAATATCAAATTTTCAAATTTCGAGACCAAAAAAAAAAAAAGTGTCCTCTTACCCCCCCCCACCCCCCCCCCCCCCCCCCCCCCCCCCACATAACCCCCCCCCCCCGCCCCCCCCCCCCCCCCCCCCCCCCCCCCCCCCCCCCCCCCCCGCTTATTCAGCGGTCGGCTGAGTCGTCGGGATTTTTTTGGGACCAAAAAAAAAAAAAAAAAGTGACCTCTTACCCCCCCCCCCCCCCGCTTATTCAGCGGCTGGCTGAGTCGTTGCGAAATTTTCGGCCCGATTTATAAATGTTAAACCCCCCCCCCCCCTTGAACAAATCTGTAGTTGTCTTAAATCATTCAAATAGTCTGGCTTTTTAAAATGTTTACAATACCAGTTCAGTCGAGTTTTGGCTTTAGCAGGTTTGCGCTGAGTTCGTAATACATGTAATGGATAACATACATACGTTATTGTTAAATAACCAACAAAACAAAAGAAAAAAAACACCACACCGAAATCATGTTCTCTTTCATATGAAATTTAGAGTTTTGATGAATAAAGATTTAGTGGAAAGATCTATTAGGTCGAAAAGAGAAGAGAAACGGGTTTAAAGTTGATACTCTAAGACAATCCCAAATACTGAGATAATTACATAAATAGAAAGCTTTTAACCCCCATAATAACACAAAATGGTGTCCACCCGACAAAACAAGTTTAGAATAATGAATTTATTCGAGTAAACTCTATATCTAAGTCTGAAACCCGGAAGTGCACGTAGAGTCGGGCCTCTATCCGTGACGTCACGAACGGGAGTCATGGGCTCAGTGAGAGTGAATGGCAGTGATATCCCTACGTAAATGCTATCCTGTCAGAGCTTAGATTTGTTGTTGTTAAGGAGTATATTTGATGGATTTTCTGTTTTCATTTGAATGAAGAATAACGAAGCAACATTTTCCAGTCGCTGATTTCTTTTTATATCCTCATATTCACCTATTTGGTAGAGATTTAAGACGAATTTACTGCTTAGGAATTAAAGTTAAATCGTGCACTTATGAATAGGCGGATGCATTATATTGTCATCAGATGAACATGAGCAGTTTTGTAAAAACGAATAGGTCTAGAACTATGATAGTACTTATCATAGATGTGTGTGACTGCCTCAAAAAAGGATACAGTACCAGTTAAACATTTTATGTTGTAAAATATCAAACTTGAACGAGATCATGCAAGCGCGCTTCCTCTATTTTGGCGAGTGATGCGGCTCTTGCATGAACGTTCGTGGAGCGAGCAGAATCGGGAGGTAAGACCAAGCCGCTGCTTTAGGCGCTGCTAGTAGTACGTACGTGCGCTAGTTATATGTTTATCGGTGTCAAGATATACAAAATAGCCAGACACTCTCATAAATGAGTTCTACAGACTGTTTATTGACAACTACATCAACATCTAAATTCATAGAAATCTGCTGTTACACAAATATTACATATACGAACGGTCATTTAATTACTCCGATACCCACGAGTGTAATTCGTACAAGTTAACTTCCCAGTTTTAAAGTGTCCGAAATTAAGACAATTTATTGTCCGAAATAAGGCGAAAGCCTTTTGCTTAGTATTTGCTATATCAGAAGGTCAAATACCGACATAGTTCCTACGACGATTCGATGCTTGAAGACTTGAAGACTTGAAGACGATGCTTGAAGGTTTATGTCCCGTAATCGCTTGTTACGGCAATCGGTCACGTGCTTCAAGATCCCGGATATACTGACTCGGCGATTCTCGGATGCTAATCCGACGATCCGATGCTTGGATGCTAAGTCGACGATTCGATGCTTGGATGCTAATTCGACGATTCGATGCTTGGATGCTAATTCGACGATTCGATGCTTGGATGCTAATTCGACGTTTCGATGCTTGCTACTAGTTAGTAGTGAAGAACGTTCTTGTCCGCTCTTACGGCTATAAATGAAATTATCAATATATCCTTCAAAATACATGATATTTAATTTCTACGGTTTCAACACTTATTTCTAATACTCATTTTCGAATAAAGCAAACGATGAAATAATAAAGGTTATTTCACCAGACTTTCTTTATCCGGTTATAACAAAACCAACATTCCACTACACTTTCATTTCATTATTAACTAGGGTCACCAATCTAACTGACCGGGCAAAAATAGATTTAATTGCTATATCAGAAGATCCAAAACCGACATGGTTTCTACGAGGAATAAATCCTGGAGACTTGTGTCGGAAGGATGATGACCCACAAACTTAATCAATCATTATAACAATTCCGTTATGTCAATAAAAATTCGTTAGAGAAATTAAGTCATTTCTAGCACAATAATTTCAATAATAACTTGTTTCTCATCATTACTACTAGGTTGTACTGCGTTAATTCATTAACACAAAATAAAATGTTCTTTTACATATAATTTCAAAATGTATGCATGAAGCGTTAAAGCATTTATATCAATAAACGTATATAATTATCCCTATCGAACGACGCTCTGGAGAAACGATATTTCATGAACGGCTCTTTCGTCACGTGTTCGTGAATAATTACTTTTGATACACATACGAGCTAATTTGCTCTAACGTGGTGCTTCTTGCACACTGTAAACATGTAAATTATCTGAATCTCATTATCACACATAGGTTATGTATAGAAAGCTACTTACAGTTATGTTGACAAAATTGTGCCAATGGCAGGAAAATCGAGGTTCTGGGCTACATGGAGGATACCTCTCGTACCGGTGTCGCCTGAGGAAAAGGACTGCTTGCGCCGAATACAAAATCAAGGCTCTGGTAGCAACTTCCACAACACACATAAGGGTACCTGTTCAAGACCTCTCACACGTCCAGCTACAACCTCGTCTTCTAGTCAACTGCCCTGATTTAAGTCCACACGTACACACCTTTAAGCATTCTCGTCACCACACCCTAATTTGCATATATTCAGACGAGCGAAATATTTTCTATCACTAACGCCCTCTAATGTCTAGATGCCCTTGAAAATAGGAAAACAAATAAAATAAGAACAAATTTCCCATTTTACTCTGACAATCGGCAATTGCAAGAGAATGAAAGCGACGTTGCCAGCTAAGAAAAACAACTAACAAAGACTTGCTCCTGACTACCGGTGTCAGAATTGGTAGATGAAGGATGTTCAGGGCCAAGGAAGGCGAAAGACATGGGAAAAAGGAAGAAGAAACCATCGGGAGATCGCTGTAGTGTATGGTAATGAACTGTGCATGGGTAGACAGCTACTGTTCACTCCGTGCCTGGGCCGATTTCAACACCAAAACAAAAATTACATGGTGAAAATATCGACTAATAGCACATCGTTGGCATGTATATGTCATAATTTTTAAAAGGGGAATTGATATTAATACTATGAAGTACTAGGGGAAGGTAAAGAATTGTACATAGAATTATAATTTATTAGACTTTTCAGCCTTTGAAACAAAAATATGCAGAAAATCGTATCACTTTGCACATGTTTGCTATGGAACATCCGGGTACGTGAATATACTCTCTCCCGGACGTGAGGTCATAAATAGTAGACCAGCGTCGTGACTGATTTTCTATGCAAAGAGAGGCGGATATTTAGACATTTCAATTGAGGATTTCGAGTAGACAGAATTTTTTGTGATATACTAAGTAATGGAAAAACTTAAAAATAACATATACTTGCCGTAGGTAACAAATTAAGGGACATTTATTTGCTTAGAGTATCAACTTTAAGAGACTGAACGCCCCAAGATATATTCACTATATGTCATACGGTTCGATGGGCCTTTGACTTCTGACAAATGGTTTGGTCGACCTTTTTGTAAAGGGTTAGGAAATTACCTGTGACCTGTAGAGGGCGGAGTGCTAAGACAAGCCGGCACTCTTTGCTTGGTTGGCCCTCTCACAGGTGAGTTGACCAAACTTGAACCACTGTTATGTTTAGTAAATATTAATATTGTTATGCTAGAGATTTGTTATGTACATATGTGTATTGTGTCAGAACGATTTCAGTAGTTATTTTGATGTATCATGTGGGTTGATATGATTATATTGGAGACGAGGATTTAATGTTAAACTGTGTGATGCTTAGCGCTTTGATTTGTTATATGCATTTACATTGTAGTACATGGTTATGTACACTAATAAGTTGAACGCGCGGTACCA